TTGAGCCACAGGCGCTAAGCCAGAAGGAGAATTTTAAAGAGGGATTCTCATCCTACATATTCACAAAGCCATGGTAATTTTCTTTTTTTTACCAGTCCTGCAATCCATGGTAATTTTTTAAATATTAATATAGTGTTGTATATTAATAAATAATTGATTGGAAGAAGATATTTACAGTATCAGAAACCAAGAGAACTCAGCAGGCCTGAGGCACAAGCTCCATCCAGCCAGGGCTCCAAGGCTTCACCCGGATGGGGACCACAGAGTCTCGATAGAGCTGAGCTGAGCCCAGAGCCTGCCTGCTCCACTGGTCACCCTTTGGCCTGAGACTCCAGGTCTCCAATGTATTAAGGAAGAAAGGCATTTTGAATGGAAGGCATAGTTAGGTAACAGAATTATCATTTGGGCAGACTAGAAGTATAATACCACATAGTGATATTACAGTTAAGGCCATGGAAATTCACAGAGATTAAGTAGCTTATCCCAAGTCACCTAGATGGGAAAGGCCAAGAACTTGGGCAGAATGAACAGATTGCATGTTTTCCTGTTGTCCCCCTCCTCTATCCTCCCCTCTCCTTCCCTGCCCTGTGAGTCTGGAGACAGAGTCCTTCCAGACTTTAGGGCTGTGGCCCTTGCCTTACTCACCCTCAGGGATGTCTTGGAAGGTCATGTCCTTGCTGGTGGCATTGCAGGTGGGGAGTCCCAGTGGGAACTGGCTCATCTTGACACTGGCCATCTCTCTCCAGCTCTCTAGGTTCTCCTCTAGGGGCACCGTACGGATGCTGGTGTCCTCAGAATAGTCCTGCTGGCTGCTCAGTGTCAAGGTGGAGGTATCGCTGAACATGAGGCTGGAGCCCAGGCTCAGAGTCTCATTGGAGCCCAGAAGCAGGGTCATGCACGAGGGTGGGGTGACGGGGGAGTTGGGTCCATGGGAGCTGGAGTGCAGGCTGATGCCTTCGCTGGAGCCAGGCATCAGGGTCACACACGAGGCCTGAGTGACAGTCATGTTCAAATCAGATCTGGAATATCCATCTGTAGTCATATTGATGGTCCCCTTAGAACTTGTGCTCCAGGCTGCACCAAAGGTTCCTTTGGAAACTGACCCACAGATGTTATGAGAAGCCAGCGTGGTGGTCTTGTTTGTGTCCAGAATTAAGTTCCCAGAATCTGGAGCTACATTCAGGTTCAGGTTGGAGAGGTTACTAGAGTCCACATTGAGCAGCTGATTAGAGTCATGATCCAGAGAAGTGTCCGAGGCTGGAATAAGGAGTGCTTTGGAGCCTGGCCTGGAGATACAGTGGCCCATAATCAGGGATTCTCTTGAATGGTGCCTTAAAAAGGGGTTTAATTCAGGCCGAGAAGGATTGGAGTTACTCTGACCCAAATCTAAAGTTTTGCTTGAGAGGTACTGGGAGGCCTCTTCAGAATTTGACCCAGGGTGGTTCTCTGAGCTCTGAGTGGTGGCCTCCGTGGATTCAAGGCTCAGAATGGGATTTGAGGCTGGACAGAGAGCCCTCTGTGCGTCAGCCCTCAAGATGTGACTCAAATCCAGGTCTGGGGCTTCATCAGAGCAAGAACTGGTGACCTGGCCAGAGTCAGGAGCCATGGCCCTGCTGTCGTCAGGCCTTGAGGTGTTATCGGTCCCTGAGGCAAGGCTCAGAGTTGTGTTAAGATCTGGCATGGGAGCTAAGCTCGGTCTTAGGGGTGGGTTCAATAAAGGAACAACACCCAGGTCTGGGTTGGGCCCAGGGATGTTATCTGGGCCTAAACTTGGGGCCCCACAGGGGTTGAGACTTGGTGTCATCTTTGGGTCCTCAGGGAGGACCAGGTTAGCCCCTGGACACAGAGCCATGTCTGGTCTGAAGGTCTTTCAATGCCTCTGCCCTCTTTTCTTCAACAGCCAGCTGTTGTGTTCCCTGCAGTACTCCTGGGAGAGAGAGAAGACAGATGCAGCCACGCCACTCCTCTTAAAGCCTTCCTAGGGGTTCCACCTTCTTTAATCCTTGCTGTGACTTCCAAGGGCCTTGGTGGCCCCTTTCCAGCCCATCCCTCCTTGCTTCCTTCCTTCCCTGCTCTCTGTTCCAGCCTTTACCCATGAATTTCCCTTCTTTGACCACGACCTGCCTCCTCTCAGGTCAGGACCCTGAACAAACACAATTCCCTTGGCTTGGAACCTCTTCCCATTATCCTTTGCCAATCCCACTCCGTTTAGCAAAATGCTCATCACACTTTGTTCTAATGATTCATTTCGGGTTCTAGCCCTTGCTAGAGACAATCTCTGCGATGGCAAGGATTGTGTACCTCTTAATCTCTGGGGTGTTCCCAGCTCCTAGCACAGGGTCGTACCCAGCTAGAAATCTACAAATGAGGAATCTCTTCTACTTTAAGGCAGAAAAAGAGAAGGAAGAGCCTCCGAGGGGCTGCCTTACTTCCAGGTGGCTGTATGTGACTTGGGACCTAAATTCACCAGCGAGGAGCCCTGAGCCTTCAGAGACTGGGTTGTTCTAAGACAGAGACAAACCCCTACAACTACTCTACAAGTGGCTGTGGCACTAGCTTCTCAGATAAACACTGGCAGAGCTGCCTACAGCCCTTCATGGTTTGCCTGTTCTGGGTGAGGCAGGCTATGCGGAGGAGAGCAGGGTCTGCCACGACCCGGAACTGCTGGATGAACCCCCTCCCCAATCCTCCCCTCCGCCCATGCCGGCCACCCTCCCTGTGGAAACCGTAGGGACAGCTCACCTGCATGCATGGTGTTCTTAAGCAGGAGTGGGCCCCTGGGAGGAGATGCAGAAGGAAACCAAGTCAGGGGAAGACTGTCTTTTCAACACCTACTGCACAGTCTACTCCTGGAAGTTAAATATCATTGCCCCATTGTACACACGAGGACGTGAAGGTCAAGGAGAAAAAGGTCACTGGCCCCACGTGATGTCCAGGCAGCTAATACCATCTCTATACCAGCCCCCTGCCTAAACCCCTCCATGGCTTCCTGTTGCCTTCAGGACAGAGTCCCCCATTGTTAGCAGGCATAAAAGGCCCTCCTGTGTCTGGTCCCAGTCCTCTTTTCACCCCATTGCCCCTTCATATGGCCACAGGCTGGGCAAACCTTCTCCACTCCCCTTCCCCAGCTGGTGCCTACAGCTCCAGCCTTTCAGGTTTCAGTTCAAATGTTAGAGGCCTTCTGGGTCCCCTAGATGGGTGAGTGCCACCTGTAAGTTCCCAGGGCACCGTGTTCATATCCCCTTTCTTGCTTGACACATAGTATCTAGCTCCCCCACTGGCCAACAAGCCCCAGAAGAGCAGAGAGGCATCTGCCTTGCTCTCCGCAGACCTCTGATGGTTAGCTCAGCACCTGGAGCACAGTAAATGCTCAACGCATGTTTGAGTTCATTATTTCACTATTTACTTTTCTCTCTTCTTCATCTGATCATTCTTTCACTAGCTCATTTCATCATTTATTACTATTCATTCATATGCTAACTCATTCACTAAATCATTTACTCACTCCACAAATTTTGCTGTGCATCTTTACAGCTTGGCTTTGAAAAGACCACAGAGTCGGAGTCACTAGCCCTGAGTTCAAACCCCAGCTTATTCTCTTCCTAGTCTGGGTGAACTTGGGCAAGTGACCTCTCTCCTCTGGCCCTTGTCCTCATCCTCTCTAAGACTGGGAACATAGAACCTTCCACTGCCCCCCCCTCCACCCCGGGTGGCTATAGCTACAGTGCCTGGCACGGAGCACACGGTTCACGGAAGGCCTTACCTAAATGGTAGCTGCTTGTTACTCTCTGCTAGGCACTGTGGGCGGAGCTCTGAGGCTCTCAGCACCCAGAGGGAGCTGCCTTCATTCCAAGTGAGTGATTCCCACACAGTTTTGCACTGCCTCAGAAGTGGGAAGTGTTCCCTTACCACCAGCACCAGAAGTAGTTTTATGCTGAAGCTAATGAATTTATTTGTGGAAAGCCCTTGATTTCAAAGTCCCCTTCCAAAGCCCTGCACTTACTCATATGTTTATATTTTTGCCTTTTTTTAACTGAAGGAGATGTTTGGATCTTCCCTCCATCATCCCTCTCACCTGTGCATGTGCTCCCGGGCATGACCACACACCTGCACACGCACATGCAAGCACACAGACTGCACCTACCAAAGGGAGGCGCCTGGAAAAAAATACGCATTTGTCCAGCCCACAATACAGTGAGTAGGATTTTCAAGGACCTCACTTGTTTGGGCTGAGGAAGAGAGTAATATTTATCACCACACAACCCAACAGATACCAGGTCATGGGGCAGAAGACCATAGGTCTTGACCGTGACTGATCCTTCCTTTTCCATGAGAAAACATCACATCTCCCCCTATTCTCCTGTTGCGCCCATCCTCTTCCTCCTACAACAGACATTCAGGGTTTCAGAGGGGCCTGGTGGTGCTGGGCAGCCCCTGGTTTGCCCTCCACCAAGTGGACACTGTGAGTTGGGAGGAGCAATGGCTGTTCAGGGGCTTGGGTCAGACCCAAGGAAGTTAAAGAGCTCACAACTTACTACAGACAACCCCTGGCCACCTAGTGGCCTTTGCCCACAAATCCTGGGCTCCCAAATGGAGAGCACAGCATGGCCACAAAATAGCTAGTCCTGTCCAATCCTCCCTCCCCCATCTCAAGGAACCCTGCCAGGCCCTAGATGGGTTGCTAAAGCCTTCAGGGTGTGGAACTGACAACACCATCCAGTTCTTCATTGAGAACATGCTTATCAGATGTATGGGCCCAGAAAGTGACTGTGCACACACATGCGTACACACACACATCTGACACTGGAGCCCCTCAGACCCAGAGGATCCAAAACAGAACTATCCGTTTTTCCCCCAGATAAGACCCTCCCATTTTTCTCCATTATAGGAACTGGCACCATCCAAGCTAGAAACGGCATTATCCTTGACAACTCTCCTTCTTAAGTGCTGCACCCAATTTTGGCCAAATTCTTCTAATTCTGGCTCCAGAACTGCTCCCAAATCGCTCCCTCCCTCTCCATCACCACTACCAGCCTTGGCCATCCCTTGCCTCAGGGTTGGATCTTAGGAATTGCCTGCTCAGCAGGGGTTCTTCTATCTGGCCAGCTCCTCCTCAAAATATTTTTTGAAATAAGCCATAAAGATCTTCTTTTAAAATTGCATGAGGCTGGGGCAGCGCCTGTGGCTCAAAGGAGTAAGGTGCCAGCCCCATATGCTGGAGGTGGCAGGTTCAAACCCAGCCCCACCCAAAAAAAAAATTGCATGGGGCTTGGCATGGTGCCTCATACCTGTAATCCTAGCACTTTAGGAGCCTGAAGTAGGAGGATTGCTTGAGGCCAGTTCAAGACCAACCTAGGCAACACAGAGAGATCCAGTCTCTATAAATAATAGAAAAATTGGCTTGGCGCCTGTGGCTCAAGCGGCTAAGGCACCAGCCACATACACCTAAGGTGGCGGGTTTGAATCCAGCTCGGGCCCGCCAAACAACAATAATAGCTGCAACCAAAAAATAGC